CAATTAAGGAATGACTTTTAAAAGTAATTTGAGGACAGACTTACACGTAATAATTTTATTCAGAAACTCCATTGTGTGAACATTAATTTTACTTGACCCTTGGCAATAAGAATTGTGTGAACATTAATTATACTGACCCTTGAAGATGCTAACCATTACTTTTTTGTATGTCCAGACATACACGGATCTAGGATTTTTATCAAACCCCGAGGTTTGTTCGACGTTTTTTTCACAAATTATATTTATTACACTTATTCATCATGTGTACGACGAATAATTGTAATAAATATAATTTGTGAAAAAAATGTCCAACAAACCTCGGGGTTGAAAGAGGAGGGGGGGTGTTCCTGTCCACAAATACCTTTAATATATTTATTTCTTGTTTGCTGCACTCAGTAATCAGGCCCGTGCGCTATCAACTACCAAAAATTTTTTGACAACCAAAAAAAAAAAAAAAAGGTCATCAGACATTTTTATTGAGGGGGCACAGGCATATAGTATCTTATATATTATAGATACAATAAATCAAGAGTAATTGTAATTTATTTTGACGCGTTCTTGAACTTGACTATTAGAATTTCTCGGCAATAATTGTAGATTTTCAGCATCACTACCAAAAATTTCTTGACAACCAAAAAAAAAAAAGTCATCAGACATTTTTATTGAAGGGGCACAGGCATATAGTATCTATGTTTTCTATAGTAATCTATATATCGGCAAATTTATTGGGGGGGGGGTAACCCCCCCCCCCCCCGTTCCTACGGCCATGGTAATGAACTTAGACATTGTTTTTATTTACTATTTAATAAAAAACACCCGTGTACATTACGTCAAATAAACCCCAACTCCGTCACCAGGGTCCTCTACAATATGTCAACGTAATAAATGGAAATTTATATCAAGTATAGTTTTTCCCCTTTTTCTTACACTTGCAAACATAAAAAAAATTAGTTTTAAAGATAAAATATTTCAAATTGTATTGTAAGAAAAGTATCAACAAAAGACAAAAATTATGTGAATATATAACGTAATTTATAATTATGTAATAACGTCGCGCTAACGTTATCTCCAATGTGTAGTCACTAAGGTAAATGTAGACGTAAAATAAAATATTTTTAGCCATATTCAATGTGGTATGTCATGTTAAGAGTCATTCTCTGTAATGACTTGAACTTTTATATAGGAGCTGCGGCACGCATAGTCTCAGAATTTCTCCAAACTCTCTATGATAAAAGTCTTTGATACTGTAAACTCAAATCAGGCAAAAATTGGTTTCTTTGTGTCATGGTTACCATAGCAACATGTCCTAAAGTTTGAAAAATGGCATTTTTCAACATGTTCAGAGTCCCACAGTTAACGTTTGCAGCAAAGTAAATAAGTGGCAATGACTGTTTCTGAAAGTTAAAGGCCTGATGTCTTAAATGCATGATAAACATGTTTGGTACATCAACTATTAAATACGTTAGTATGGAAACAACGTATAAAAAAGTAATAATTTTGTTCATTTAATTTTATAAAGTCATACACTTAAGATTAAAAACAATTATAGGTTGAAATGCAGGCAAATTATAGACAAAAGATCGTTGTAACATATACCAAGGACGAAACATGATATTTCTGATCCGTTGGCAATGGTTGCCATGGTTTTAATACCACGAAAGCATTTTAAATTTACTCTTTTAGTGTTTTAATCTTATCCTATCATTTTAAAAAGCATATTTCTATATAATTGATGATCAATTTTTAAAGGCGTTGGTGTGGCCCTAATTTTCACATTTCAAAAAAATCAAATTCAATTCTTTAAATAGAGCGTTGCTATGGAAATTAGCTGAAAAAATATGCATAAAAATCTGAAAAATATTCTGTTTCCTTGGATACGTACCCTTGTATGTAGATTCCCAAATGATTGATATTTATGAAGAACTAACCTGACTTTCAATTTTGACTTCCACCCAGTCCCTAACTGGATGCAAAAAGCTGGCACTTAGAGTTTATTATTGAAATAAAATTAACAAAATCAAACATTTTCCCTTCTTGGTAACCATAGCAACAGTGTTGAACTTTTCAACAAACGATATCAATATATGATATTCAACTTCAGTTCTACCAGATAAGTACTATTCAAGGTGAGTCAAATAATATGTTTCTTGATTAAAAGGTAAGTAAATTCCTAAGGCAGCAAAGAAATATCGCTTCAAACAACTGGTACGTTGTTTCCATGGTTACACTGCAAAGTAACAATTAATCCCAAGTTTTCTTATGTTGTCGGTGTTGCAAGGTCCTAAGGATGTATATTGGCCAGTCATGTATTTTATAGTTTTTCCCCAAGACAGTAGCATTAACCCAATCTTAGCAACATATTTTGCATGGTTACACTGTGTTACCATGGCAACCATGAAAGTTATTTTTAGAATAATATTGCCAATACTTAATTACTTAAGGTCAAATAGTTTTATTGTTTTTCTTAAGTTTTTGATTGAGTTTGATCATGTAACACCTATTATAAGGGAATATTAAGCGCTTTTCACTTTTCAGCATTTTTCAGCATCTAAAATGTATTCCAAATGTACCCATGGTTACCACTTACTTAGAGATAAATTCTAAATAGTTTCTTTACAGCATAAGTGGCAACAAGGTGTCATGTTTTTGTGAGAATAGTTTGTTTGTTTTTCTTAGTTTTTATTAAGGCTCAATAAAGATTCAAAGTAGCTAAAAATCTCAATTTTTCCAACTTTTCTGGCTGTTACCATGGCAACCAAGACAAATAGCAACGAAATTTTATTTGATATATGTTTCTGGTGTCAAGTTGTAATCATGGGCAAAGTTTCATCAAAATCGGTGACCATGCGTGGCAAAGAAGTTTAAGTGGTTACAGAGACTTTGACAAAATGGTTGTCTTGTGAAATTGAGCATGTAGAAGCACATGTCCGAGATATCGATGGAATAGCGCATAAAGGAAAAGGTGCTTACTAGTGATTTCACATAAAATATTATAGATACAATAAATTAAGTGTAATTGTAATTTATTTTGACGCGTTCTTGAACTTGACTATTAGAATTTCTCGGCAATAATTGTAGATTTTCAGCATGCCAAAAATGACGTTACAATCCTATTTGTTTACAAACAGCGCGGAGTTTCCCGAAGTACGGAGTTAATTAACGTAGTGACGGAGTTAAGGGGTATATGTCATCGGTCAGAGAAAATATTACAGTTGTTATATTTTCTGACAAGGTACTTGTTTGAGATTTGAAAAAGTCAGATATTTACAGGCGCGGATCCAGGATTCCGGGGGGGGGGGGGTCCAACCCAGAAAAAAAGAAATTCCAACCCAAAAATTTCTTCACAAGCGATTAAAAAAAAAGAAAAGAAAGAAAAGGGAGGGGGGTAAAATCCATTTCCCAAACGTGAAAAACACCTATTTCGTGTTGGTGATGGTGGGGTCCACGTTCTCTGGGGGGGGGGGTCCAAAGTCATTTTTTATTTGCTTCAGTACATACTTTTAATAACTCTGGCAATTCCAGAAGGGGTCCGGACTCCCTCGACCCCCCCCCCCCTCTAGATCCGCACATGATTTAAATGAATAACGCAACAGAAAATCAAATTTCTTCAACTTGTTCTTCCTAACAAGTGCAGGGCCTTGTGGGCACTTGTTGGTTGTAAAAGGTACACAGGCGCAGGGGAGAGTCCTCTGCTTTTAAAATACCCTTAAACTGAAAACTTTATCAGGTCTGGGCGGCCTCCGTTTTTGGAGGATAGCTAAATTCAATATGGCGACCAAAATTTTTACCATATATGGAAACCGCGCTGCATTGTGGGATAGTTTATCCTCCGATTTCAGAGGATAACACAGGTAATTTTCAAACACCTCGTGCCTACCTTTAATCAAAGAGTGCAAGCACCAGAGAACATACAACAGTACAAATAAAAGTTCAAACATTAAACTATCGATTGTATGTGGCGATTTGAGATTCTATGTCTAGATATTTTGCAATTAATTTTCAAAGTTAGCACTTTTTGCGCTTCATTAATACTGAATATTTCTTGTTATTTTGTTTTATTTTTTACGATTTTTCCCTATTTAGACAAATAAAAAAGGACTTTAATATTTCTTTTATATTTTCTTTTAATTCAAAAAAAGGAAACACAAAAGGAAACGCATTTTAAGCGTATTTAAAACGCAAAATATACTCTGCCTTTTAATTTAAACAAATAAAAGTATAAATGGATTGAATGAATAATTATAAAAAAATAAATAAATAATTTGAATAGCATAAGTAAATATAATAAATAATTTAACATGTTTACTAAGAAGTTAACATATATTCATACAGCCATGTGTATAAAACAAATAAAATATTACAAAGTGATGTGCTTAAGAATTATTAAATGAAAGAAATAAAAAATAATTAAAATTAATTTTTCCAAAAAAAAATGTTTATCAACATTTCTGAACTGCTTATCACATAATTACGGTACTGGAAAATCAGCGTGGTTATAATTAACCTCTGTCACAGGCAGGTAAGTGCAATATTTGTTTTCCAAGCTGTATACCGAATAACTGATTGACGGCAAATTACAAAAACATAGTTATATTGATTAAATATCTGGAATTATCCATCATAATATGAAATTGTACCTTTTATTTGTTTTGATTTCGAAGTCAGCGTACGGTTCATAAATGCAAGAATTGCTGTTATTTGTTTGGTTAAGAGTTAACTGCCCTTAGTTTTGAAAATTCCGGTAGGTGGCAAGACCGCTATCCTCTGTTTTCAGAGGATAAAATCTATCCTCCAAAAACAGAGGCCGCCTAGACCTGTTTATTTTTGTATACTCCTATTTAATAATGGTATTCTAAACCCATCTTGTTTTGCCCCACTCCCCCTTCCCCCTCTTTCTCATCGGTTAAGAGGTCGGATCAGACACATCTTTGAACGAATTAATGAATTTTGCAACCCGGAAGTGATGAGTTTGTTTCAACATGGAGACGGTGTAGAGAGAAACGAAACCGCAGCAAACATAAAGCACACAAAATGAAAGTGTCTTCAGGGATATTTCGATGGATCACTTGTTTTTATTTGATTTTTTGTTTTCTTGTTGTACACTCAGAAAGACACAAAGGAACGTGGTCCTCAAGTGATTTTCTCTTGTTCGTGTCGAAATTTGGTGTCCAGAAAACTGACTTGAAAAACGAAGATGCGACACAGGGATTCTTTTACGGAAATATATCAACGACTAGTAATTCATCTAACTCATTAACATTAGTTGTTGTTGATAGTGAGTACTTCTCTCATTTTTATGGAAATGCTACATCAAAATTGAACAAACAACATAAAACCAGCATTTGTAAATCTATGTTTAAAACAATTGATCAAGTGGCATATGATAAAGACTGCAAACCAGAAGGGACGAAAGACTACCTCCGTAGAGTTCCATGTCCTAAAAATAAACTTTGTGTGGATGAAGACACGCCATCAAATGTAGTTCCAAACTATCAGTTTACATACAAAATAATGGATAAACAAATACCAAGGTATGCTTTGGTGATTATTTTATTTGCACAGTAAAATTTTTAAGGTTTGATAAATTTAAATTAGTTTTGTTATACATTCACCACATGTCAATTTATCAAGCATCTAGAATGTAACAGCTAGATAAATCTGCTTGTACATGAAGTTTTGTGAGAAAAAAACATCCTAGGCAGATTTTTCATCTTTTAGTTCATGGAAAATTGTTATGTGTTTAAGAACTAATGAAGTAAATGGAGAATCATTTTCACCTTTCAAACAAGTTTAAATTGTCAGTTTATAATTGTACAATCAGATTTTTGCTTTAAAAAACTTATAAAAACATACAATTGCAAGTCTTTCACAATGAACTTAGGCAATCATTAATTTTTTGTTTTTTTGTTTTTATGTACTTGGACCCATAAGTTTTCAAGGTGGTTAGGGAAAAAAGGTACCTTTTTGCACTGGGAATGGGGCTGTTCAACAGCCCCAATTATAGATAATCAAGAGCCCTGAAATGTATACTGTAGATTCCTAAATATACACGAGGAATTAATTATTGCGTAATTACGCGAGAAGCACCACTCATGAAATAAAATCACTCGCTTTTATTTTTATGGTGCTGAAATCAATGTTAAATCCCTTGATCAACCGTCCACTCGCGAATTATTGTTCTCGCGATTTGACGTTAAAGAGCCATTTCGTGAGAATAAGTACTCGCGAAAAATAAGGAATCTACAGTACATGGGACAGTTAGACAGATTTAATATTTATTGCTGTAAAAAGTTTCAATCTAAAAAGTGTCTTTTAGAAATGATAAACATTAACTTAAAAAATGTATTTCCCTTGACCCCCCCCCCCCCCCAAAAAAAAGAAGAAAAAATAATTACTGAAAAAAAAATGAACTGGTACTAAGAGTGATTTTGGCTGGTTTGTCAGAGTAGATCAAACAAATAAATTTACTCTGTCATTCATCCATTCAAACATTTCTACACAAACCATTTATAGGCTCTGAAATCACACCTATAAAATCTCAGTAAAGCTCCTTCACAAAGATTTTAATGATTAGCACTAATGTGCAAAATTTTCTTTTGTTCATTCAGCATGTCAGTATTTCATGGGGTGGTAATAGATTTAATACAAGCAAATACTACACTTAGCTGCTATTCCCTGTTCTAATCATTCTTTTCAGTATTCATAATCATAACAATATGGTCCTGATGCTTTTCAATAAGTTACCAGTGACAGTGCATGCATACTGGCAAGATGTGCCACTGACGATCTGAAAAGTCATCTCAACAAGAAACATACACTTTTCCACATGGGCACAAACACTCATTCCTTTTAATTAATTTTACAACCCACTTGAAATTTAAACTCTGTAACCTTTCTATCATTTAAATTTTTGTCAAGATAGATGGTGATAAACTACTAATTGAAACAGAAAGAGGTAAAAGCATGTACAGCAGTATTTTATTTCCACCTCTTGGTTTCTGCAGTCAGGCTTAAAAATCCTTACCTGCATGGGGTTGCTTTCTGTTTGTAACTTAATTTTTTGTGGCTAGTCTTAATACTTTCATAGATGGGAAAGTGTCTCCAAAAGGGATGAGTCTAATGAATTTGTTTTTTTTTTAAATCAGTATCAGAAATTTTACAGAATCTGACTGGTTGGTTGTCTAGCACTAGGAAGTATTATTGTGAGCAATTTGACACACATACATTCACATGAGTTTAATAATGTTTAGTCTTATAGAAACTCCATTGACATATACTTAAAAACCCACACACTTAAAACTTTTTCAGACATACACACACTGGATAAACATGTACTGTTCTAAGTGTAAAACAGCTTTTTAATGTTTGTTTTTAAACATTGGAGATATTAACAAAAATATTGTACTAGAAAAACATGTTTTGTTTTAAACAAGAGTTCACAGTGATGTGGACAAATTTATTCTCTTTAGAGAAGTGGAATAAGCTTGACGTAAAGCCTGTCCACTTCTATAAATAGAATGGAACAAATTAACCAAAACATTGCCCAGATGAACTTTGTTCTTAGTCAGCCTCTGGTCATAATATATTTTTGTGCCAAGGATGGGCTTCTCCATTACAAACTTACTGATTGAACAAGAAATGTTATACATCTATTTTTAGGTCACCTGAGTCACTCAGGTGACCTATTGCTATCCGTTCTCGTCCGTCGGCGTGCGTCGTGTGTTAACATTTGAACATTTTTAGCTTCTTCTCTGAAACCGCTCAACCAATTTCAAACAAATTTGGCATATAGCATCTATGGGTGAAAGGGAACAAAAATTGTGAATTTCATGGTCCCTGCCCCCCTGGGGCCTGAGGGATGGGGCTAAAACCACCAAAAATAATGCAATCTTTAAAAATCTTCTTCTTTACTCCAGGACATCAAGCAGTCAAACTGTTGGCATCATTGTAACAAGCATTGAGCCCTCTACCAAAATTGTGAAATTCATGGCCCCAGGGTCAGGGGTTCTGGCCCCAGGGTGGGGCTATGTAGATCATATAGTGAAAGTGCATTATTTCTTTGAAAATCTTCTTCTGTGCTCCTGGGTATTAAATAAAGTAACTAAGTACATAGTTATGAAGAGCAAGAGTGCCTCTTCCAAAATTGTGAAATTCATGGCCCCAGGGTCAGGGGTTCTGGTGTTAGGGCGGGGCTCTATTGATTATATAGTGAAAATGCATTAATTCTTTGAAAATGTTCCTCTGTGCTCCTGGGTATTAAATAAGTTAACTAAGTACATAGTTATGATGAGCAAGAATGCCTCTACCAAAATTGTGAAATTCATGGCCCCAGGGTCAGGGGTTCTGGTGTTAGGGTGGGGCTATATAGATCATATAGTGAAAGTGCATTATTTCTTTGAAAATCTTCTTCTCTGCTCCTGGGTATTAAATAAAGTAACTAAGTACATAGTTATGAAGAGCAAGAGTGCCTCTTCCAAAATTGTGAAATTCATGGCCCCAGGGTCAGGGGTTCTGGTGTTAGGGCGGGGCTCTATTGATTATATAGTGAAAATGCATTAATTCTTTGAAAATCTTCTTCTGTGCTCCTGGGTATTAAATAAAGTAACCAAGTACATAGTTATGATGAGCAAGAATGCCTCTACCAAAATTGTGAAATTCATGGCCCCAGGGTCAGGGGTTCTGGCCCCAGGGTGGGGCTATATAGATCATATAGTGAAAGTGCATTCTTTCTTTGAAAATCTTCTTCTGTGCTCCTGGGTATTAAATAAAGTAACTAAGTACATAGTTATGAAGAGCAAGAGTGCCTCTTCCAAAATTGTGAAATTCATGGCCCCTGGGTCAGGGGTTCTGGTGTTAGGGCAGGGCTCTATTGATTATATAGTGAAAATGCATTAATTCTTTGAAAATCTTCTTCTGTGCTCCTGGGTATTAAATAAAGTAACTAAGTACATAGTTATGATGAGCAAGAATTCCTCTTCCGAAATTGTGAAATTCATGACCCCAGGGTCAGGGGTTCTGGCCCCAGGGTGGGGCTATATAGATCATATAGTGAAAGTGCATTCTTTCTTTGAAAATCTTCTTCTCTGCTCCTGAGTATTAAATAAAGTAACTAAGTACATAGTTATGAAGAGCAAAGGTGCCTCTTCCAAAATTTTGAAATTCATGGCCCTTGGGTCAGGGGTTCTGGTGTTAGGGCGGGGCTCTATTGATTATATAGTGAAAATGCATTAATTCTTTGAAAATCTTCTTCTGTGCTCCTGGGTATTAAATAAAGTAACTAAGTACATAGTTATGATGAGCAAGAATGCCTCTTCCGAAATTGTGAAATTCATGACCCCAGGGTCAGAGGTTCTGGCCCCAGGGTGGGGCTATATAGATCATATAGTGAAAGTGCATTATTTCTTTGAAAATCTTCTTCTCTGCTCCTGGGTATTAATAAAGTAAATAAGTACTTAGTTATGATGAGCAAGAATGCCTCTTCTGAAATTGTGAATTTCATGGCCCCAGGGTCAGGGGTTCTGGCCCCAGGGTGGGGCTATATAGATCATATAGTGAAAGTGCATTATTTCTTTGAAAATCCTCTTCTGTGCTCCTGGGTATTAAATAAAGTAACTAAGTACATAGTTATGATGAGCAAGAATGCCTCTTCTGAAATTTTGAAATTCATGGCCCCAGGGTCAGGGGTTCTGGCCCCAGGGTGGGGCTATATAGATCATATAGTGAAAGTGCATTATTTCTTTGAAAATCTTCTTCTGTGCTCCTGGGTATTAAATAAAGTAACTAAGTACATAGTTATGATGAGCAAGAGTGCCTCTTCCAAAATTGTGAATTTCATGGCCCCAGGGTCAGGGGTTCTGGTGTTAGGGTGGGGCTCTATTGACTATACAGTGAAAATGCATTAATTCTTTGAAAATCTTCTCCTCTGCTCCTGGGCATTAGGGTGATAAACTATGTACATAGTTATGATAGGGAGGTAGGCCTCTTCCAAAATTGTGAAAGCCATTGCCCCTGGGTCAGGGGTTCTGATGTTAGGGCGGGGCTCTATTGATTATATAGTGAAAATGCATTAATTCTTTGAAAATCTTCTTCTCTGCTCCTGGGTATTATTTAAACAAACAAAGTGCATGGTTATGATGCATAAGGATGCCTTTTCAAAAATTGTGAATTTCATGGCCCCAGGGTCAGGGGTTCTGGTGTTAGGGCGGGGCTCTATTGATTATATAGTGAAAATGCATTAATTCTTTGAAAATCTTCTTCTCTGCTACTGGAGATTATTTAAACAAACTAAGTGCATGGTTTTGATGCATAAGGATGCCTTTTCAAAAATTTTGAATTTCATGGCCCCAGGGTCAGGGGTTCTGGTGTTAGGGTGGGGCTCTATTGATTATATAGTGAAAGTGCATTATTTCTTTGAAAATCTTCTTCTCTGCTCCTGGGTATTAAATGAAGTAAATAAGTACATAGTTATGATGAGCAAGAATGCCTCTTCTGAAATTGTGAATTTCATGGCCCCAGGGTCAGAGGTTCTGGCCCCAGGGTGGGGCTATATAGATCATATAGTGAAAGTGCATTATTTCTTTGAAAATCCTCTTCTGTGCTCCTGGGTATTAAATAAAGTAACTAAGTACATAGTTATGATGAGCAAGAATGCCTCTTCTGAAATTTTGAAATTCATGGCCCCAGGGTCAGGGGTTCTGGTGTTAGGGTGGGGCTATATAGATCATATAGTGAAAGTGCATTATTTCTTTGAAAATCTTCTTCTGTGCTCCTGGGTATTAAATAAAGTAACTAAGTACATAGTTGTGATGAGCAAGAGAGCCTCTTCTGAAATTGTGAATTTCATGGCCCCAGGGTCAGGGGTTCTGGTGTTAGGGTGGGGCTCTATTGACTATACAGTGAAAATGCATTAATTCTTTGAAAATCTTCTCCTCTGCTCCTGGGCATTAGGGTGATAAACTAAGTACATAGTTATGATGAGGAGGTGGGCCTCTTCCAAAATTGTGAAAGCCATTGCCCCTGGGTCAGGGGTTCTGATGTTAGGGCGGGGCTCTATTGATTATATAGTGAAAATGCATTAATTCTTTGAAAATCTTCTTCTCTGCTCCTGGGTATTATTTAAACAAACAAAGTGCATGGTTATGATGCATAAGGATGCCTTTTCAAAAATTGTGATTTCATGGCCCCAGCGTCAGGGGTTCTGGTGTTAGGGCGGGGCTCTATTGATTATATAGTGAAAATGCATTGATTCTTTGAAAATCTTCTTCTCTGCTACTGGAGATTATTTAAACAAACTAAGTGCATGGTTTTGATGCATAAGGATGCCTTTTCAAAAATTTTGAATTTCATGGCCCCAGGGTCAGGGGTTCTGGTGTTAGGGCATCGCTCTATTGATTATATAGTGAAAATGCATTGATTCTTTGAAAATCTTCTTCTCTGCTACTGGACATTATCTAAACAAACTAAGTGCAAGATTATGATAGGCAAGGATGCCTCTTCCAAAATTTTTAAATATATGGCCTTAGTTTTTGGGGTTCTTGAGGAAAGGGGGGGGGGCTCTATTGATTATATAGTGGGAAAGCATTAATTCTATTAATTAATCAGTAATTAATCCTGTCTGCTCCTTAGTGTTGAGCTGATAAATAAATTGCTTAGCTATGATGAAAATGGGAGCTTCGAACAGAATTTTTAAATCTTGTGGTCCTAGGGTCAGGGGTTCTGGCATAATGGGGGGGGGGGGGGGCTTTTGAATTTCTTGACCCTTGGTCTTGGGTTCTGGTGTTAGGGTAAGGCTTTGTTGAATCTGTAGTGAAAATGCATTGTACCTGTGAAATTCTTCTCTGCTTCTGGGCATATCGGAAGAAAACTGAGTAAAAGTTTAAATGATATAAGTAAGCGTATTTCTACAAGATTTTTGAACATCTGGACCATTTGTCTAAGCATTCTAGTCCTGGGCAGGGCTCTATTAATTTGTATTCTACTGAGAGAAGTTATTCCCCTTTTCCGTTCACCTTTGATAATTAATCACTGTAAATAATGTATTTGAAAGGTTAATAGAATAAGATAATTATGCAAGAATGTTTATCATATAATTCAAAAAGTATTTTCTTAGTTTTAATAATCAGGTAGACCTGTAAGTAATAGATAAATAAAAATGAGACAAAAATAACTTATCTTATTAAAAGTTCTTCAAAGACCATAAGAGAGGTCAATGCTAGAGGTCTTAATATGGGTTTAAAAATAGTACAGAAGCACTAATAGTTTGTTAATAGTCTGCATGGTGATAGTGTTAAGTGGGGGACAGGTTAGAACTTAATTTATGAGTTGATACTGAATACTAGACTAATTATTTTGTTGATCCTGATCTTCCTACTGCTCTTGCTTTAGGGCAACAAAGCTTCATCTATCAGTGTATTCAACTTCTAAATTGTTGTATTATACTCAGGTGACCGTTAAGGCCCTTGGGCCTCTTGTTTGTTACTTTGACTGTCCCAGAATGACTGGCTCAGAGAAATGACATATTGTCTGACCATAACCTGCCTTTTTGCCAAATAGAGATTCTTATGTATCACAATTCCTATGACCTTGGCCTTATCCAAATGAACTTGGTTAGGTTCTTGACACATCCTATGACCTTGACCTTATCCAAATTCCTTTAGTCAGGAACTTGTCATAATCTGCCCTTGTGTGAAGTATGAAGTCTACTTGCAATTGTTAACTTCAGAAGTATAGAAAATTTGTAAACTAATGTAAACATCTTAAAGTTGTCAACAAACTGATAGACAGATAAAAAGCAATATGCCCTTGTTAACTATAGTACTTTTGTCATTGTGATTGTTGGACAGCTACATATTAAGTGTCAAGTCAATTATAAATGATAAAGCAAAGGAGATTCTTTGTACATCAATAAGATACACATGTTTTCTCCTCCTGATCAACAGATATTGAACTGTTACATTCACACATGTTTCCAACCCTATTATTATTCTCTTGAGCACCTTTTTATCACATTTTTAGGGAAAGTGATATTGAACAAAACGAGCTTTAAGCTTTTGAGCCGAGTCACAGATGTACAACCTACAATGAGAAAGTAATCATTATAACATTTATAAAGGGAAATGTTTGATTTCCCATCAATATTTATTCCATTTGTATACAAATTATCAATCAGTAAGTGACATAGCCTTTCATTTAATGTATAAGATAATAGAAAAATGATAGTCTTCAGTGACGCACATATCTTGATTTTTGAATTAGTTTAAAAATGGTGGTTAAGACCAAAAGTTTGTGGACCTGAAAGCTCAAGTTTATCTGAAATTATTTTTGAATTAGTTTATCTAACTGCATAGAATAAAAATTAATGTCTGTTCGTATGAAGTTTTGCCTTATTTTTTTTAAAAGAAAAGTCTTTTAAAGAACTTACTGGTAAAACTAAATCAACGTATAGACACAACAGAAACCATAAAGTTCATGTTTCTCAGTGAACATAATGTAATTCTTTAATGAGAACTTTTGTTTAACAGAGAGATACCACAATTGTATATATTTTACCGAATGTGGAAAAAGTGTAATACCCATTTTTGTCTTTTAGTGAGGGCATATTAATGTAGGAAGTTGAACATGTATTTACATTCCAAATGTGTTTTTCGTTAATATAAAGTGTGTTGAAGGTTTCGGCATTCAAAACACCAAGACATGGATGCAGAGGTTAAAGGGTTAAAGTAATGATCTTTATTTTGAGATCATAAACTTTGAGCACCGTATAATGCAAGGTCATCAAGGAAAAATCATAATGCATGCTCATGCATATTAAACAGTTATGGCTGCTCCCTCAATTTAGCCATAGAGTTCGGTGTGTATCATTTAAACAAGCATAATATATTCAAGAAGCAATGATTTATCAATCTATCATATTATACTTTCATGTAAATTAGCTGAATCTGATTCGTCGAGAAATATTTGTTAAAAAACACTATTACCCACTGAATAATGAAACCACGCCCTCCAGCGTTGCAACAGTCAACATTGCTTGACGACGTGCGATATTCCAAAAAATAGTGACTGCGCAGAATTTATGCGCGCAAGGTTCACTGTTACATGTATTTGTATAAAACAGTATAATATAATAAATATTGCATGCAGTTGAGAGTAACATTGAAAATTTTCACCCCTCGAAAACCATTGTCAACCTCGGCTGCACCTTGGTTGACAATGGTTTTCTTGGGGTGAAAATTTTCAATGTTACTCTCAACTACATGCAATATTTATATAATATGGTATCAATAAATGTAAATATATATGCACTGAATTGTTATGGATGGCTCTGTAGACAAATTTTCATTATATGGTAACATGCATTTTCTTATTTGTCAGCACAACTGTCCATATTATGACATGTTGAATGTCCAAAATTTACAAATCAGTGCTTGTCACTGTGGCTTTTGTAATTTTATGTCCTATTTACATGTATTGGTATATAATTGCTTGCTAGTTGTATATTTAAATTTACACTACAGGAAATAAGTATAGTTGCTTGCTATGTTGTAATTTTATTGTATTTACAGGTATTGGTACATGAGTATAGTTGCCTGGTTGCTTGCTATATTGTAATTTTATTGTATTTACAGGTATTGGTACATGAGTATAGTTGCCTGCTACAGAAATACGACCAATAAAAACTGTTCCTGGGTCAGTTCTGATGATGATATCACAATAGACTATGACATCTGGTTGGTTAATGGTGACCCCATTTACAAGAATTGGAATCCAGTGGAACATCAGTTTTCTTTTGAAGAACATGATATATTTGAAACCTTTTTGGGTTTCCTTGGCATTTATATCATCATAGTGCCTTTCTGGTTCTATGTCTATTCTAAACAGAGGCATTCACTTACAAAGTTTTTACTGCTCATCACATGCACAGAAGCATTTGGAATATTTTTTAACTTTATTCATGTAGCCGTATTTGCCTCCAATGGAGTAGGAGTGTATTGGATTGCTGTTGCAGGCAATGCTATAGATATTATAGCTCAGTGTCTATTTATGCTGAGTCTGTTACTTCTTGCCAAGGGTTGGATGATCACCCAGCCCAACATTTGGGGGAGGAAGGTTGTGTTCTCTCTGTGGGGGGTCTACACACTGCTCAACTGTGTCCTGTTCCTATGGAACCTGGTAAGTCATAGAAGTATTTCATATGCCTTTGACAATGTATTATGTGAAAGAAGTCTAAGCTTGTCTAATAATTATAGTCCTAATTAATTTTGAATAAAGTTGCTCTTATGAATTTGACTTTTTAAATTTTATTGATGATGATTATGTTGAATGTCCCAATCACTTTTTCTTTATGGACGTAAATCTCAATTGCAATGTCTTGAATTCTTCGATAACTTAAGTTTTTTTCTTGATCCCATCGAGTTCAAAATAATGAGGCTTTGCTGTATATAGCAGGTACATACATAGAGGAAATGAATCACTTATATTTCTTATCTGAATCACTTTAGTAGTAGCTGTGAGATCTTATCAAGGTACTAGGTACTTGACAGGCAGATCTGTGTACCTGTAATTAGGGGAACAAGGGGGTAGTATGACTGAGCAGATACACAAAGGTACAGCTGTTATCTGCGGTAGAGATGTCACTGTTGTTCTGTTATCAGGGGAAATGAGTTTATCCCTTGTAGGATTCTGTCACTTATAAATATAATTAAGGGTATATATTTGTCATCTCACTATGTGTATACTCCTCTCAATGGTTACCCATGATGATACACGTCTTTTTAAACTGACCAGTGCTAATTTTTATTGAATTCCCTGCTTGAATTAACATGTTTCAAAAGAGTCAAGAGGCATAAAATCAACCCCAAATATCTTTTTCTTATTCGTACACTTTTGCTAATATTTAAAATGACATATAATAGTACAAGTATGTATTATCATGATTATACAGGACAGTTCATATGGTAAATTTACCAGAATGAGAACTACATTTTACATTCAAGTTGATACTTTTAGTTTGAGGTGGATGTCATTTCTAACAAGGATGAATGGCAGACGTGGCCTGGATATTTGATATGTGGATTCCGGATCATTATTATGATCTGGTTCATCTTTGAACTGAGACATACCTTCCTATCCAGCCGGTGTCCGGAGGATCGACTTCAGTTCCTCCAGCAGTTTGGAGCCTACTTCCTTGTCTGGTTTATATATCTTCCAGTTTTAGTTATTCTCAATACACAGTTCTCTGCTCTATGGAAGAAAAAAATAATGCTATGTAAGTGCACCATAGGTATTATTGCAAAACTCTTCATATAATGTAAATTTATGTTGTTTTATTGAAAATTTTGACAATTGACAATCCAGGAGACTATTTCTTGCTTCTGTATACAGGTTTTTTTCCCCCTTTCACACTTGCAAACAATTTCACCCCGTTTTAATTTCACCCAGTCACAGTTTTGTTTAAAAAATTATACTTTTTCTTTGAATTCTCCCCATCTTAAATTCGCCCACTTGTGTCTTGGGTAGAAAATAAAATGGGGGCGAAAATATCCCTGTATACAGTATTTCTTTTTTTAATTGCTTTGTTTTGTGTTATATTACTGTTATAGTTATTAATTTGTTCTATATAACTGTTAAAGTTACTGATTTGTTATATAACTGTTATAGTTACTGATGAAAATATTACAGCTGGAATTCACATGTACATTTGAAAGCACAAATGTAAGAACATTATGTATAATAAATGGACTATATCTCTTCTCCTATTTAATTCTGCTTCACTTGTGTATTTTAGGTATAACAAATGGAGCAGACCTCCTCTCCTACTTAATTCTTCTTCACTTGTTGTGGCCATCACGGTCTATTCTATACCTTCTCAAAGGAGAAGAGCCGATACCTTACGACCTTCTTATCACAGGTAAGCAATGTCAGGTTCCACTTCAACTCAGGTAAGCAATGTCAGGGTAGAACCTCAACTCAAGTAAGCAATGTCAGGTAGAACCTCAACTCAGGTAAACAATGTCAGGTAGAACCTCAACTCAGGTAAGCAATGTCAGGTAGAACCTCGACTCAGGTAGAAAATGTCAGGTAGAACCTCAACTCAGGTAAGCAATGTCAGATAGAACCTCAAATCAAGTAAGCAATATCAGGTAGGACCTCAACTCAGGTAAGCAATGTCAGGTAGAACCTCAACTCAGGTAAGCAATGTCAGGTAGAACCTCGACTTGGATAGAAAATGTCAGGTAGAACCTAAACTCGGGTAAGAACAAGTGTAACTTGTGAGGAATATTCCTGTTGATATAATCACTGAAGTTTCTGGGAGTTTCTTAGAAAAGTTCTACTTGACAGGTGTTTTAGATGAAGACCAAGATGATAAAACTATATTTAGAAGAAAGAAAACTAAATTGAATGGTCATCTGAGAAGAGAGAAAAATCATAACACAATAAAGAATGGCTTCCAAAAATCCTCCAATTACACAGACGAGAAGAGGTTGGCTTTACTGCCTGAAGAAGAGGAAGAGGAGGAGGAGTTATGACTGAAGCAGATGACACCAGGGAGAAGAGGGCTAAAACTGCAGCAGATGACACTGGGGAGAAAAGGGCTAAAACTGCAGCAGACGACACGGGGGAGAAGAGGGCTAAAACTGCAGCAGATGACACTGGGAACACATTGTATATGTAAAAAATGTGTGATTCAGAGAGGAAGAGTCTTTCATTTTGTTTCATAAACTTATTTTAAATATATCTCTATCATAACAGGCCATATATACTATTGACTTCAGGTTAGGTCGGTTTAAATAACTTGTAGAGTACAAAGCTGACATTTGATCTGTGTCAAATGAAGTGTTTATGACAATATACATGAAAGGTTTCCTTCTTTGCTTTCCTTGAGTGTTGTGTTAAAAAGAAATTGCTTTTTATTTTCTTACCAAAACAGCTCATGTTTATAGATCTCACATTCCACTGTGAATCGTAGTTGACCCTCTATTGTCTGTTTTTGGTAGGACGTTATTTGACATATCGTATTTAAATTTAAAATTTTTCCATTATTGCATAATTGAAAAATCTCAGATTTTGATGTGTATTTTGATGTGGTATAATGTCCTCTTTTTTTTTTAATTCTGAGAAGTATGTATATATGTACGTGGTTTATGCATTTGATCTATTAGTGAATTTATAATCAGCTTAAAGTGAAATGAAATGTAAGGTTCCTGATTTTAGTCAGTCTGTCATCTTTTTCTCTACTGTTCATATTTTCAACTTCAACTTTTCATTCTTTTGAATGAAGCCATAATACATGTTCAAAATTTTTAACATGCAAGAAATAAATTTCTTGTAAGAACAATAAGCTTACCAACTTACTATCAGGTATGAAAGCATTCTTAGCTTAATTGTGTTAAAACAGTGGAACCTAAACTAACATAAATGCAATAAGAGTGCAAAGTTTTTGTGCATAATTTTGACATCTATTTGATTTTCTGTGCAAGTATATACATTACATGTTGTACGTACATTGTACTCAAGTTTTCCCTAGCAATGACATACATAGAGCAGTATGAATCAAGGTCCTTAAATCAGAGAAAAGTGTCAACAGTTTAAGAGATTTATTTTACGGTTAATTGGCATGTCATTATTCAGCGGTTGTTGTCAATTGACTTTTTATTTTACAAGGGGTGCTGAAAATTACTTACCACCAGCAGTTTGTATATTAGATATGTTTATTAGATTGCATTGTGATTTAATTTTGTGCCAAAAGTCAAATTTATAGATAAGATTACAGATGCATGTAGTGTACAGATGCAGTATAAGTGTAGTGGTATCATGTTGATACAAATTGTTCCTTCCAACAAAATGTTTATATACAAAGAACAGTTATGTTACCTGTACATGTTGTTTATAGATTAGACTATACTGAAATTGATATAGTGTATCTCATAAAGAACAAATAAGTTTGTATTTATGTAATAGAGTAAGTTTTAAGCCACATCTTTTTTATTTTTTTTGAATATATGAATTTTTATAATTTTTTTGTTTTTTTATTATGTAGGGAAAGTTGTATACCTGCTGATTCAAGAATTATCTTTCAACAAGTTCTCTGTTGTTTTTTAACACAGCAAAATCAGTTGAATAAGTCTGCTGAATTAAAAAAAAAAATGTTAAATTTATTATCAAATTTTAGTTTTTAGCTCACCTCAACGAAGTTGGGGGAGCTTATGTAATACCCTCGGCATCGGCGTCAGCGTCCCAGGGTAAGGTTTTTGGAGCAGTTTTCTTTTCAAGTACTTCTATGGCCTATATTAGTCAGAGATGCATGCAGGATGCATCTAGTGTGTTTCATTGTACCAGTCAAGGTTTCAGATGCTGCAATTTCAGCTAAAGAATGACCAGATTAATGTTTTTGGAGCAGGTTAAAGTTTTTGGAGCAGGTTAGAGTTTTTTGAGCAGATCTCATTTCCAAGTAATTATAAGCCCTATATTGACCAAACTTGCATGGATGATACATCTAAGGATGCACACTACTGGACTTGCTTCAGATGCTGGATCTGACCTGTATTTTCCGGATGAGTGACCAGGTTAAAGTTTTTGGAGCAGATCTCATTTCCAAGTAACTATAAGCCCTATATTGACCAAACTTGCATGGATGATACATTTAAGGATGCACACTATTGGACTTGCTTCGGATGCTGAATCTGACCTATATTTTCTGGATGAGTAACCAGGTTGAAGTTTTTGGAGCAGATCTCATTTCCAAGTAACTATAAGCCCTATTTTGACTAAACTTGCATGGATGATACATCTAAGGATTCACACTACTGGACTTGCTTTGGATGCTGGATCTGACCTATATTTTCTGGATGAGTGACCAGGTTAAAGTTTCTGAAGCTGATGTCATTTCCAAGTAACTTTAAACCCTATATTGACCAAACTTGCATGGATGATACATCTAAGGATTCACACTACTGGACTTGCTTCGGATGCTGGATCTGACCTACATTTTCCAGGTGAGTAACCAGATTAAAGTTTTTGGAGCAGATCTCATTTCCAAGTAACTATAAGGCCTATCTGAACCAAACTTGCAAGGATGATGCATCAAGGGATGAACAATCTCAAAACTTGCTTCAGGTGCTGGATTTGACTTACATTTTCTGGATGAGTGACTAGTTTTAAGTTTTCAGATAAGTCTATTCCCAAGTAACTGCAAGCCCTATCAGACCAAAATTGCATAAATGTTGCATCTAGGGATGCACACTCCTAGATTATTAGTTTAGTGTGGGACTTTGCCTTACTTAAAGACAACATTCGTTGAGGTGAGCTCTGTAATCTCTGATTACCTATGTTTTAAGCAAGGCAAGGATTGATTGTAGGTTAAAATGTAGAAATGACTCAGCATCCAGATATAGTACCAAACAAGAGTATTATTTATAGGAATTGGGATTATTACAGAATGTCTAAAACTGAGCTAAAAGGCTCAAGAGAACTATTCTGATAAAAATTTGTCCATTGTCTATCGTTGTCGTTGTCATAAATTTTTCACATTTGGACTTCTTTTCCAGAGCCACAAGGCCAGTTTCAACCAAACTTGGCTCAAAGTGTCCTTTCAAAGGAGATAATTTAGAATTTGTGAAAATGTAATTGCATCTTTAAAAATCTTCTTCTTAAGAACCACCTGGCTAGAAAAGATGAAATTTATTTGAAAGGTCCCCAACATAGTGTAAATTCGAGTTTTTCAAATCATGACTGATGAGGGTAGGGTGGAGCCACAATAGGTGATCAAAGTTTTACGTGGGAATACATGTATTTAGGGAAAAATCTGAGAAAATCTTCCACTCAAGAACAGCAAAGCATTGATTAGTCATATCAATATGCAAGCATCCTTAGGTAGTTAACATTCAATTTTGTTTAGATCAGGGCCCTTGGGAATAGGATTTAGGCTTCAATAGGGGATCAGTTTTACAAGGGAGTACATTGTATAAAGGTTAGTTCTGCAGCTAGTTTAAAGGTATACTGGAAGAAATCTTCTCTAGAGAGGCAAGACAACACTAAATCATATTTCAAAACACTCCTAAACTGCATGGAATCAGTTCTTTAAGATTATGAGACATGGGGTTAAGGCCGGGCTGAAATCAGAGGTAGTGCATGTGTACAGGAAGAAAATGTTCTCCAGAACAGCAAGGCCATGTCGACTGTATTGATATTGAAGAATTCCAATATTGTGTGGATTCAATGTTGATTAAATCATAGCTCCTTTAGGACTAGGTTTTGGTCAAAAGTCGTGGAGTAAAGTAATCGAGTCAAAATTTTTATGATATATTGAAGGGAAATTAAAAAAAAATCTGCTGAAGAACAGCAGGGCCAAAGAGACTCAGGTGAGCATTGTGGCCCATGGGCCTCTTGTTCAATTTTAGCATATTAACCGAAATTTACAATATCTATGAACAAAAAATAAGTGAACAACTTATTTAGGGTTACAAGAAGTGTTTTGTGTGATTCAGATAAAATTGTGATACAGAGTATATTTTTTGCTACATATTATTTAATGATCAATTTTTGATGATTATGTTATAAAATTGTCATTACAATCATTTTGCTTTATAATTTTGCCAAAAACATGTAACATTCAGTATATGAATCAAAGATGAAGTGAACATGGTTTTATATAGCATACATGTATTTTTTTTTTTATAAAAGCTTTGGTTATTGTCAGGACAATTTCAGAGCTGTTGTAATAAACTGAAAGTTTGTAATGGAGAGAGTAGCTTGTTACCAGTGATATCACAGTGGTCATTTTCACCTACATGAACAATAATGCCAATGACTGCCAGTTCATTTCTGTTTTTGTTTTTTTTCTATTTCAGTGGGTCTTGTATTGGTTGATGGTCGGTAATGAATAAAATCCCACATGATTATTTAGAACCACAGATTTCACTTTCATATTCAACAATCAGTTCATAAGAGAACAAATTTTGGTATAAATAAACTGTACTGATTATCTGTGGGATATTTCTGGTATATCGTATTTTACCCGAAGCTTTTGTCATTTATCTGCATTTTCTGTAATAACACTTAAGAATTGTACATGTATATTTACTTGTTAAACTCCAATGTTTTCCTGGATTTTTGGATTTTCTTCATTGGTATGGTTATGATATGAATGTGTCTGAGTATGGTAGTATCATTATCAGATATAAATAACTGTGTATTTGACATTCCTAGACTGAATGATCATAGAATTGTTGGCCACAGTGTTTCATTTCACTTGAGAAGTTTTAACTTTGCTAAAGTTATTTTCAACTTTGTAGGAACTTTGAAGGGAAGCACAAGCTACTTGAGTTATTTCTGAGCAATATTTTATAATTTTTGAAAAAGACCCTACACAAGTTTGAGGATTTGTTAATTTGTGCATTTAGCTCAGTTAATTGAGAGATTTAGCAAACCAACTTGTAATGTACGTTAGTAGGGGCTTCTCCCAGAATCTGTGCATTACGTCATTGTTTTTGTTAATGGATTTAAAAATCCTAAACATATCTACTTACATGTAGATCACCGAGTACCCAGTCATGTGAACTAGTAGTTTATTTTTTCTTACTGGTTGTTTATTTCAATCAAAGCATGTGTTCTTCTAAAACTTGAGGATTTATTGCATCCTCTGATACAAGGAACTAAATGTTTTTCATTGAAGTATGTTATTCTATTGAGTGTTAGATGAACTAATCTTCGCTTTTAATTTGATGAATCAAGATTTAAAATTAATTGGTATAAATATATTCATATATTTAATGAAATGTGAGTTGATAAGCTTAGAACAATTTGAAATCATCCAAAGATTAGTGGATGACCAATTGATTCTGAAGGGGGGTTGGGGGGGGGGGGGGTTGGTAGCTAAAGGAAATAAATAAAATGTTGAAAAAAAAAATCTGTCCTTGAACATTATAATCTGTTCTCTAGAAGGAAATAGATAATCTTACCTTGACTGGTGGTACTTTGCACCCATCCCCGAAGAAATTGAGATTTTGAATTTGGGCAGACATTCTTCGCTTTTTTTTTTATCCTCATTAACTTTTTTTCCAGGGAAGAAAATGAATTGTCTTGCATGGTCATCTTGGAAATGAATATTCTGTTCTGGGAGGACATGAAAGTAAATAATCTGAATAAACATATTTGCCAGCCTCTCTCTAACCCCCCCCCCCCCTTCCTATTTCAGAATCAAGACTCGCACATTTAAAGCATTAACAAGTACACATTATAATTGCTAAACAAGAAAAATGATGTAAAAGTGTACATGTATTTTTAATGTATCGTACACAAACATTGTATATGCATGTACATGTTGGTTTGCTAAACCTTTCTATCATTTTCAGGAAAAGGGCAATGAAATTTGTGGCTTTGTCTTCAAGGGCACATTGCTTTTTTTCTGAAAGTTTTGCACCCAAATAGATGTAAAGTGTTTTTGCTGTTGAAATATGGCATCATTGATGTCAAAAAGAAATATACATCTCTGATTACCGGTATGTATAGAGTAAAAGTTGTGTTTTTATGTTTAATAAGTAAAATACTTGATTGTTGATGAGCACTTTTTAAAATGTTTTTCAAAAGAGTTACAATGTAACTGATCTACTCCAGATTAAATCATTCCAGCCATTGGTATTGATTTTTGTTCTATCTGTGCAGGTCTTCCATTAGACTTTGATGATTCTATACCTAGCCCCCTCACCTGACCTTGATTTGCATTGACATGATTGATCTGTTTAGAACACCTCATTCTGATTAAAGCAGTGCAGCTGCTAGATACATGTAGAACAGGAAGGGATAAAATGACCAGACCAGGATCCAAACTTGGGCCTCCTGAGATGCTCCACCGATCTATCTGGTCACTGGTAATCAAACCTGACTGTCACGTATGAACCATACATTAGGTGTGCATCTTTAAAAACAGAAGGAACATACATTTTGTTTTGTTTACTCCTCTTTGGTGTTGTAGATCCATAGCAATTAAAATACAAAATGCCTATCATAATGTACAGTGCACCTGTAATGGTTTGGGCCCTGGATATTGGGAAAATTACATGTGTAATGGTTTGGGCATTTGAGAATGTGTCTTAGGAAAATATTTTATTTAAAAAGTCAAAGAAACCTAGGGGTACGGAACTCGGGGGTGGGGGGGGGGTGTTCCGTCCTCCAAGCACCTGTGTCCATCATCTGTCCGTTTGTCTGTAAAAATTTTTCAAACTACTATTTCAATATAACCTGTCCGTCATGGTAGCTCAGTCGGTAGAGCACTCGTTCCGTGATCAGATGGCCATGAGTTCAAGTCTCGGCAGCGACTGACCTAAGTTGATAAAAAAAAGGTAGCAACTGTTCCTTCGCCAGGCACTTGGCACTTTGAAGTGAAAGTTGCAGGCCCTTCGGATGAGACCTTAAAATCCAAGGCCCCATGTCACGGCAGGCGTTGGCACGATATACATCCCTCACTGCTCAATGGCCCTGAGTGCCAAGTAAAGGTCTAAATTTGAAGCCCTTGGGACGTAAAACACATACAATCAATCAATATAACTTGGCACACTACACTAAGATAAATGTACATAATACTGTTTATTATATGATTGAATAATTCCCATCTCTCTGATTGGCTGAGATCCAACAATGTTAGAAAAATACTATGTTATATTGACCTGCACGTGACCTTCCAGGTCAATATAAGGAATTATTTCCAGGTCAATATAAGGAATTATTTACTCTACATTGGACCAAAAATAGATAATCATATAATAAAACACTTATTGCTGTTTTTTGAGGTCAATACGATGATTAAGACACCTTCAACGTACATTTACCTCGCCCTTCGGGCTCGTGAATATTGTACTCCTCAGGTGTCTAAATCATCGTATTGACCTCAAATAATTGTATAATATTGGTTTTTGATGTTGATAAACAATGTTGCCATGGTTATTAAAAATAGAAATTTCTGTGAATTACTTTCAAAACCCTACTCCTCCTACATTTTTAGTCTAATTGCAATATAACTTAGATTACACTAAGATACATAAATCTGTGTATTTGTTTTTGATTTAGATGAATGGTGTTGCATTGGTTACTAAAAATAGAAATTTCTGTGAAATACTTTCAAAACACTACACTACTCTTCCTACAGTTTTGGTCCAATTTTAGTATAACTTGGCATGCAAGTACACTTTACAAACCATTAGAATTACAATCTCATCAGAGACCTCTGGTTATAGTTTTTCATGCATTCAACATGGACATTATCTTTTTTATACCATTTATTCAACAATTATAACAGTACATATTAATCACTAGACATGGTTCTTCAATACAATGTCAATTACAACTTTTTATTCATCCTACAAAAATTGTAAAAGGAACACATAGAGTGTCAGTCTAGTTACATTAAAGTCATGTGGTTTTGTAGAGCCGTAGTTTAGTTCATCCAAAGAGTGAGTAGGTGCACTAGTATATGTGCACCAGTTCAATCCTAGAGTTGTCTGTGACCATTTCATGTATCATTTTACCAGACTTGTTTATCTACACGGAGTACAATGTTATATGATAAGTAAGACAATGTCTTGTACATACATCATTTAATTAACATAAAAAAATAACTCAGATACTTAAAATTCAATATATTTGTTTAGCCTGTTCCATACATTATGGTCATCTCATATTACTGAAAAAAAAACTTCAGTTTTCAACTTAACTCAGCTGCAGTGTAAAATGATATTTTCAGTAATATATTTCTTAATATATTGACATCTAATATCACTAAATTGAGGACATTTAAATTGTGATGACCATATTCAATAGCTAGATTATGAGATGACATTCATATTCTACTTATAGCTACTCCTTATACTAACAGTTGCTGGTTTGATGGTACAAGTTTTAATTTATTAACAAGGTTTTAAAGTAAGAAAGCAATCTAAATATTTACTTTGTACTTATTATCAAGAGATACAAAAACAGCATCTTTTAATATCAATAAAATTCTTTTAAAGCCAGTACAGCTCTTCATGATGAAACTATGCTTTAATTCAAATATTTCAAATTAACGGAAACAAACGAACGAATATAATTACAACTGATACTAACAAAATTAATGCCCAATCTTATTCAATCATGATGATTTATTTCAATCATGATGTTCATTATACTAACAAAGAGTAAAATCATTCTAAGGAGCATGTATTGTGCTCTCGATCACTCTGTCACAACCGTTTGCACCATATATCCATCAAATGCAGAACACTGTTAATGAACACACACAGGGTAACGAATTACAAACTTAAAATTTCGGCAAACTGTGTCCCTATATCCACTGTACTGGACAAAAAAAACTTAGGATTCTGTTGTAATAAAAATATTATCTCAAGATGCTTAAAAGTGAGATAATGTTTTTTAATGCCATCTGAACAGGTAATCTCTGAAGGAGTTTAACTTTCTTATATTATTCATTTTCTGTGTTAACTTTACTATTTTTTTTTTGGCTCATAGAAAAAAAAAATCAAAGAATCATCTTATAGATATCAAACCATCTTAATTTTGATTCAGTGTCTGAATATTCTTTTACAGATGGGGATCAATGTCAAATAAAAATAGAAATGCTTGCATATCCTGAGATTTAAAAAAAAAAATCTTTTGATCACAACTGACAAGATGAACTTACACATACAGTGTAGTTTATTTACACTCTTCTCAGAGGAATGTTGCCAGGACAACCACAACAAACAGGTCATATTGATCTTATTTAGTAGGTCTGTCATGTATTGTAAGGAAATGCATGGCCTGCCAACTTATTATGCATGTGTTCCTTGAACAAAAATCGATTTAGGGAAACTTGTGGTGTTGAAATACCAGGCAAATGCATATTAAAGGATTAAATATTTTTCTTTTATTGGGCCAATTTCTGAATTTGAAATTTTGAACAGGCTTTTGATTTTGGAAATCCTGGCAGACAATACAGTGATTGATCCACAATCACCCTGAAATAATACAAGTATCTATCCCCCCCCCCCCCCCCCCAAAAAAAAAAAAGCTGGGAAAGGAAAGCCATATCATCACTACCAGTACTTTAAACTTCTTCAACATTGAAAGAAGGTTATATATGAATGTTCTGTGTTTTCTGTGCAAACTACTGATAATTAACATTCTTAATAGTGTACCTTTAACATCCAAGAATGAAATCAACAATTCTTATCTCAAAACCACATGACAATATATTTTGAGTATACTTTTAGAGATAAAATGCCTCCAGTTGATTATGATGTTCGATGCAGATAAATATTTTAAAACAAAACACATGAATATGATTTTTGACCAAACCTGAAGGTGCTGTGCAAAGATGATGAGCATTTTCCATTGAAATAAATTTGGGTGAAGTTCCCAGTTCAAACTCATCAATACATTTCACTCTCTGATGAGAAAGACTGAGTTCTTCCACATGGTCTATGAACTCTGAGCTCACTCAGGTTGTCGCAACTTCCTTGAGTCTCCCGGCT